TATCCAAGAGTGCAGATAGGTACCGTACCTGCAGAGAAGGAAAAGTGAGGAGCAGGAAGAGATGGGGTCCTGAGTGGGGAGCACGCAGGATCAGAGGCTGGGGAGGTGAGGTATGGGAACATAGGTGCATGGGAAGAAGCGATGAGGGTGAAGGGGACTGAGGAGCGGAATTCTTGAGGGAAGGCAGCGTGGAGAGGAGGGAGTGGGAGCCCCATGGGCAGGACGAGAGCAGTGGAAAGGAGCAGGAGGAGAGGGAGTCCACAGGGAGAAAGAATTAGTGGAATCCTGAGTAGATGAATGTGCTGCAAATAAAAATAAAAAATTAAGTTAAACAGAAAGCAGCAGCCAGGGTAACAGAGCTCCCACTGAACCCTCAGCCCCAGTGTGCCTCCTGCTCCCTGCAGTGATTCCCCCAGCCCCTTCCCTAGTGCTTCCCTGACGCTAGCTGTGCAGACTCTCACCAGAAGGGAATGGACGGCTTTATGCTCGGGTATTTATTATTATCATTTTCCTCAGGGATTTGCTGCACCTTTCTCCTCTGCTTCTGCCTCTGCCTCCTCCTCCTGCTCTTCCTCCTCTGGATCCTCCTCTGTGCTCTGCGTCCCAGCATGCAGTACAAAGGGAAGAAAGAGCGGAGACACTTGCAAGATGAGCCACGGTGATTCTTGCTCAAGCACCAGGCCTTAATGTTGTGGTCTTATTTGGGCCCAAGAGAGAATTTCTCTAAACAGCTTAGAGATCTTTGGAAGTGGTTGGGGGCAGGAGGGAATTCACTGATCTCCAGAGCACAGGATCTATCCCACGTAAAAATGCGGATGGTTGTCAGGTACTGAGAGAACTTGGTTCTCGCTATGGTCTACTGCCTACCGAGAAAGTTTCTCCCCTTTCTCTCCTGCCATAAGGTGAATAGGGAACTTCCTCCTATTTCCACATATTGGAATTCATTGGAGGAAACATTCCTCCTTCTGCATAAAAAAGCTGGTAGACTTGGTCAGTAAACAGGTGCCTGCTGCAAAGCGTTCTGAGGATTCACATGCTTGTGGGACTGAGGACAGCAACACACTCACTATGGGCACAATGAGAAGGGATATCAAATAGGCATGAGAAGGTCACAGGTACCTCGTTACAGTGATTTACCACATATACAAGGTCCCATTTGGTAGCAGATGATGGCACTTCATGACCTTGAAAAAGGGACTGGCTATGACATTTCACCACCTGGTTAACTCACAGCTGAAGTTGATAGAGGAAAGAGAAAGAAGACGCTCTTATGGTGATGAAGATAAGCCATTAACAGGGAGGGTGACGTAAAAGTTAGTCTCACCTTAACCTTGCGGCTGGGCTCAGAGCTCAGGCCATTGGGAGAACTGTACAGCTCTTTGGAGACCACGCACAAGAACTCTGTCTGGTCCTCATTCCCATAGTTATAGGTTGAACCAATATTCACCAGCTGGAC